ACATACCGGGTTCGCTCACCTCTCGATCCTGTCACGGCTCTCTGCCGTGACAGGGGGAGGGGCTGGATTCCCCCCGCTCCGATCCTCCAGCGCTGACTGGCGGAACAGACGGGGGAGGGGGCGGGCACAGCTGGCTCGGCCTCATCGATGTCGGGATCCGCTCCGGCTGCGGCGGTCTCAGTATACCGCGAGCTGCAGCTCCCTATATACTGAACCTAGGGTGACGGGAGGACGCTAGTTTGTGTCCTCCCGTTACCCTAAGGAGAACTATGGGGAAAAACACTAATGATAACCGTAACATTTTATTATTTTATAATAACGATTTTTTTTTTAAATTTAGTCTTGGAAGGCGTGTAGAAGGATTGGACTCTTCACCTTTCTCTTTGTCCTGGTGACCCTTGTCAATGGGACATAAAAGTCCTGGGAGCTCTACAATGTTACCGTTGTCACCAGAACAAGAGGCGAGGGTTATTCTTACCTGTTCTGGGGCAAGAGGTCATTTTCCCTTCACTTTGTGCAGATATCCTTTCACTTCCTGTTTGTCTTCAGGACCAGAAGTGAAGGTAAATCCCCCCGATAGGAAAAAGACATTTATTAAAAAATTGGCAGCGGTTTAACGCTTCCCTACACTGTCCGATATTTATAACAAATGTTTTATGCTTTAGCCATCCAAACTGTTTGCTAGTTTTAATACAGAATGGAACATTACAAACTTATTTCTATGTGTGGTCACTCCCTGTGTAGTCACCAGGACAGGAAGTAAACTGTAATGGGGACACAGAGAACAACAAAAACTCTTCTCTTTACTAGAGAGCAGAAGGGTTAGAATCTTTGTCAGGTCTCTATTGCTGTGTGTCTTGTTTCCTGTGCGGTCACCAGAACGAAGTGTAAGGGAAAATCTGCCCTATCGGGACACAGAGAGCGATACAAACTTGACAAAGGTTTTTCAGCTCTCACCACTCCAGCCAAAAACTAAAAGGAAAAGTTCTGGCAGAGTCGGGATTGGCGTTGGGATCCAAGAGGCCCTGTCTTCCAAAATCAGGGACCGCTGGGGGGATGACATAAGAAAGGAATGCTAAAAAACAAAGAATTCGGGTCGTGTTTTTGTTAACATTTCTCTTCACTGAGAAGGAAAACAAAGATTTACAATCTACGAGATGTTCCTGAGAAAGATGAATCAGCAGAACAGAAAATGTGACGTGTGACAATGTAACAAGCGCCGCGGGAGCCCAATGTTTGCTCAGAGGAAACGTTCTGGATAAAAAACCTAAAGAGATCCGGCCAACTCCGAAACATTTATCACCAGAACAAAAGCCTCTCCCGGGCCAACGTAAACATTATTACTGACAGAGGCCGGAG